GGATATATTAGTCACTTAGTGTCTCACTATGTAAAATTACAAGGAATTAAAGGGTTATATTAGTACAAGTGATATTAAAGTACCTAAGTTAGCTAAATAATATTTATGGAATGTCCAAACCTAGATTATTAATTATTAATATATCAATATTATTTATCCAAACCTAATTACGAAGCATGATTCTTCGCCAAGTAGGATTCCGAATCACCAGAAACAGCCACGTAGGCTCAGCGCATTCGGTAATTATATATACTAGTTCAACACCCGTGTATTACACGGGTGCTTGCTAATTTTTTTCTTAAAATCTAAAAATTAATGAGAAAAAGTAGTTTGAAAATTTAAATACCTTTTATAAGAATATATATATATTATTATATATTTATTATGACACTTTTTATTTGTGCAACTTACTTGTGTTATATTATACTAATTTTTTTTAACTTACAATATATAACTATATTACATATAAATATATCAATTGAAAAATAATTTTATTTTTCTAATGAATTTCAATAAATATTATTATTTTTTATTATTATAAAGATAAATATAATTTATTTATTTCATATATATACAATATGGATGTCAAATCGAAGATCATCAAAAGATGATTAATAAGATATATTATATATGTAAAACCGATAAGAAATACAAAAGTTATCAACTTTTAAAATACATTTATAATTCAAAAGCTTATTGAATGAAACAAATCAAAAATCAGGGATATATTAGTCACTTAGTGCCTCACTATTTAAAATTACAAAGAATTAAAGGGTTATATTAGTAAAAGTTATATTAAAATACCTAAATTAGCTAAATAATATTTATGGAATACCCGAACCTAGCTTTGTCTTATAAGATTTTGCGACAAGGATATTACTGGCCAACCTTAAAAACCGATGCCGCCACATGGGTCCGCAAATGTCCGAAGTGCCAACTTTTTGCACCCAACATTCATCAATTCCCTGAAGAGCTCAAATCAATCTACAGTCCATGGCCTTTCGCTAAATGGGGAATCGGCCTCATCGGTCCCCTGCCCACCGGAAAAGGTGGCGTCCGATTTGCCATTGTTGCGGTTGACTACTTCACCAAATGGGCTGACGCCGAAACATTAGCCACGATAACCGAACAAAAAGTTGTTGAATTTATATGGAAGTCCATCATTTGCCGCTTCGGAGTACCGAACTCAATTATCACAGACAACAGTCGACAATTCGAAGACAAGCAGCTTGAATCTTTGTGTGAGGAATACAACATCAAACATTTTTTCTCCTCGCCATATCACCCACAATCCAATGGTCAAGTTGAAGTTGTTAATAAGCTCATAAAGAATGGCCTCAAAGTTCGACTCGATGCTGCCAAAGGATCCTGGCCTAAAGAGCTGCCGCACGTCCTATGGGCCTATCGAACAACTACAAGGACTTCCACTGGCGAAACTCCATTCTCACTAACTTACGACTCAAAAGATGTGGTCCCAGTCGAACTTTGTGAACCTACTTACCGAATTCAGCATTTCACCAAAGAGTCCAACTCGGACAACATGAAAGCTAATTTGGACTTGCTTGAAGAACATCGTACCCGTGCTGAACTCAAGAACGCCGCTTACAAACATAGAAGCGAGAGATATGTCAATTCTAAACTCAAGCCTCGTTCATTCCGGGTTAGCAAACTAGTCCTCAAGCGTATAATGGGGCCTGACCCTGGTCCACTTAAACCGAAGTGGGATAGACCGTTCCAGATCATTAAAGTCCTACCCCATGGAGCATATCGACTCGCTCATCCTGGTGGAACTCCACATCAGTATCCGTGGAATGCTGTTTTCCTAAAGAAGTTCTACCAGTGAATGGTCCGAAGTCGGGCAACTGATTTTTCTTTTGAACGGACCTTCTCTTTGCCTCTTTGAGGAAGCGAAGATGCTCTTCTGATGTAATGAAAGTTCAAAGACTTTCACTTTTGAAATCCGAGCAACAGTTCGGTAACGATGTAAAATATTTTGAAACTCGGTTATATTAATATTTTGTACTGATGTAAACATTGCGACACTCGGTCTCGCTGATACCCCATAATACATCCAAATCCCACGCATTCTTTGGTTGGGGTTGAAGCTCGTCCACGTCACTTCAGCAAACATGATTTGACGAGGTCTCATTGACAGCCGAGCACACTTGGTTCGGTTGAGGCCGTTCCGTAATCGAACCGTGACGAAGTTCGGTGACCCCTTTATAGCTGACGCCTCGTAATACATCCAAATCCCACGTATGGTTTGGTTGGGCTAAAGCTCGTCCGCGTCACTTCAGCAAACATGATTTGATGAGGTCTCAGTGACAGCCAAGCACACTTGGTTCGGTTGAGGCCGTTCCGTAATCGAACCGTGACGAAGTTCGGTGACCCTTCTTTTTTCAACTCAGACACAGCCTGAACGGTGTCGAGTATTGCAAGTTCAAAACAACTTGCTTGTCGGTTCTCCATACTACCGACTTTCCAGAATATGACATTAGACTCAGAAAAGGAATTCAGACTCGACAAAATATCGAGCTATCCTTATTTATCGTACATTAATCATTTACTGCACATGCGCACTACGCATCGGCATTGTCAGTAATGCATTCATACATTTATACGCGCGTCACACATACATTCATTACATATGCGCATCAGACATACATCTTGACGTATAAATCAAAAGAATACAATAAACCAAACGCCTTCATTTGTTTGGGCCCACACTGGTTAGGCAAAGTCAATAAGACCTTCCCGGCTGGGAAATATGCGAAAGAAAAAAACATTACACCGAGTTCTTCAGCTCGGTATGATGAAGCCTTTATGTTGACGAGCATTTTCGGTCAACGGTTAAAATGGAAGATATTGAAAACGTGGAACTGGAAACAAAGGAAAGATATGATTTAATCACGATTTTTATTAAACGATCACTAGGTCGGCCCCTCGTACGGGATCGGCACTTGCGATGTACTTACCATTATTATAAGAGTTCTTTACAAATTTAGAGAGAGAAAATAGGAAGAAGTTAGATTTAGTTGAGGATTCAACAACCCCAAAATAAATGAGGTGAGCTGCTATTTATAGTACTCTTAAATGGGGTACTGTTCACTAGTCTTGTCGCACAGTAGGTTTGCAGAGCAGATCGGCGCCTCCCTGACAGTTCATTAATGCGATTTGAGGTTTCTTCAATCACTGCCTGTCAGGCATTTAATGCAAGCATGGGCAGCATTTAATGTCAATTGACTTTCTTGACTAGGCTTGCATGTTGATTAGATGACTGTGACAGGCCGTCCTATCAACGAATGATGACCTCCCAAGTGACGAGTATTTTAATAGCGGCCGGATCGGCGCTATCCTTTGGCAGGGCGGCTCTAACATATCCAGATCGGCACCCACGCTCTGAAGGCCCGCACGGCCCGGGTGAACCTTTCTCCAGTTCGGTACCGTGGTGAGACCGGTCCGGCACCCTATGAGTCCGGGTGCCGGGCTCGAGAAACATTCTCTTCAACCCAGACTGCATATAACACCTTGACTCAGGTCGGCTCCTGCACTCTTGATCGGCTCGGCACTTTTTAGAAGTTCAGTCCTACCCAGTTCATGGGGCCGACCCGTTTGGTTCTGACCCGACTGATCCGGATGTCAACACTTTACTTTCACCAAGTTCTTAAGCTTGGTAAGGCTAGAAAGTTCGCTCCTAATCGAGTTCTTCAATTCGGTGGGCAAATATATCATACCGATAACATCTTTGCATATAGATCGATAGCAAAACAAGGGGTTCGAGTGCCCGCACCAGTTCAAATATATACTATTATCATCATTACAGACGCAAATCCATCCAACGCATCTTATTACACACAAAAACCGGGTACCGAATTACCCAACCAGGCCAACCAGGCCCCATTCACATATCAGTTTCCCATAGTTGACTATCCACGCAGTCGACTCCACTCGTCAGAACAAAAAACAAGATTACCGTCAATACGACATGTCAAAGCCTAAACACGATCCACGAAACGTCCACGGGTCCCAAAACACCCGATCAACGTCGATACATTATTTTTCACGGCTAAATTGACTATACATGTGACTTTAGAACAGTTCTATTCAGAACATGTCCTAAAGTCAGGGGCCTACTGTTAATACCCAATTTTGGCCTCGCCTATTAAAATATTACACGTGGATATTTATTATATCAATTGTTTTATTTTAGGGCCCACAAATAACACCATTTGTAATAATAACGGGTCCACCAGAAACATATATATACCCCAATGATGGACGTCATAGATAAGTCTGAGGGGCTATTCTTTACTTTTTCTCTCTCTTTCTCTCTGATGAGTTTTCCTCCAGACATGATTTTCAAGAATTGTTATGAAATTCTATTCACAAATTACATACAAAATATTCCCAGAAATCTCATATAAACACAATATTTCGAAAACCCCATGTTGATACAAATTCGCATATCAACACAAAAAATATATACAAAAATTTAATTTAATATATTAATATTTATAAATATATTAATATAGTTATATATAAATATATATATTTATATATACGAAAATATATATTAATATATATTATATGTTTAACAAAAAAAATATATATATATTAACATATGCAAATTTTGTAAATAATTTTTTTATATTTAAAATATATATATTAAG